TACCTTTAACAAGTAGGGAATAAATTATCAGCTGTTTTTCTTACAGAAACCAAGGCTAGGAAAGATTAAGTAATTTACTTTGGCTCACATAGTAAGCTGAAACAAGTGGAGAACTCTCAATCTTTCACACTCATATTTTAAACATTGCACTATCATTTCCCAATACATAATCCTTTGCCTTTTTGACAAGTCACAAAACCATCCTTTTAATCTCACCTTTTCAGTTTATTTATTGAGATATGAACGCTCATTATCTTTGGTTATCCTATTTCTATATCCATGATTTTCTCTCCTCCTGCAATATAAAATTTATTGTTCTCCTCAGTCAAATGCTTTTATTCCTTACTTGAGATCTCAAGTGCTGACTTACACCAGCATAAAATAATCAAATGCCAGCATAAAATAATCTAATGATGCAAAGTTCGTATTAGCACAGGACACCTGGTGTTACTTTTGTTTCGTTCTTGAACATCATACACTATCTGAAAGAGGCTTTCCCTTACCTTATGTATTGGGCAGAACCTACCCACACAACTAAGCCTTAATTTGCAAAATGTTTGAAATTACTTTAAATCCTCAGGCAGTGCACTATATTACGATGTGACTTTAAGACTCATACGCTCTAGAAGAAAAAAAGGTGGTGAGAGTACAATGTTTTGCCAAATAAGATATTTTTTCTTTTAGTTAACAGGCCCATTAATTTCTTTGACTTAAAATAACCTTCACTGAATTAGTCATGTAATAAACAAGAATAAATTAAACCTAAAACTAAATAACACTAATGGACTTGCAGTACAAGTATGGGTTCACTGGTAGGTGAGGCGTAAAGTATACAGGGGGAACAGAACAGTGAAGGAGACTGGCTTCTTTTTCCTTCCTTCTCCTCTATTACTTTCATGAGGTATTTGTCACACAAGGAAGAAGCTTAACTTCTGCTTATGTAGCCCAATATTTCCTGTATATAAATAACTGCCACAGTGCTAATGCAGACTATAAACCTGAGATGAACATATAGCATACACTCTGTTCAAGAAAGTTGATCTCTAATGATAATTGAAGAATCTAAAAGTATCCATTATTTAGATTAATTTAGTAAAGGAAAACTAACTGGCAAAGACAAACACTAGCTTATCTCAAAAACTGATAAGACAAAACAAAAGAAATCAAAGATAAGCTTTTACAAATTCCGTGACGATTTTAACTCTGAGTCAGATGACAGCAATATAATACTCCTAAAATCAGAAAATCTGTTAACAGTGATGTGCAGAGGCTCTAACTCACAAGTATTTCAAAATAAGCTTACCTTCAACCTACCCGTTTTACAAAGAAAAAACAGAAAAGATAAAGTACAACAGATAAATTAGGCATTATCTTGCCAATGTTGACAAGGTCAGACAATAAACAATAATCAAGAAAAATTTAAACAGCACAAAATCTTCAGCTTGTTAATTAAAATAAATGTTTATCTAAATCAGATTCTGTGGCAGTGCTGAGGGTTTAAGACAGCAATTGCAAACTGTTCTCATGTCAACTGTCAATATCCCTTGGATGGCTCCTCACATCTCTGAACACTACTAGGCCCACCCCACCCTTGCTCCTTAAGGTGCCCGCTGCTCCCACAGCAGCACCAAGTAACAGTGACGGCAACAGTGCCTCCAGAAGCTATTCCAGGGTACACAGATTTTGTCTGTGCAGGTTTTGCCACAACTCCATAAACTGGCACTTATGTCTGGCACTGCATGGCTACATATTTAATATGATTGCCATGTGAGCACCTAAACACCATATGTAACATGTGATTTATAATAAACTCCAGCATTTCCACAGAAGGACATTATTAATAAACCAAGTCATTTAACTAGAAGACAGACCAAAAGGACTGATGAAATATCTTGCTTTTTAAAACAGCATGTTTTCAAAAATTGTTCAAATGTGCTCAAGATGGGACAATTTTTAATTAAAACATAAGTATTTCTTATTCTGACCTATTTTCCCAACCTGAGATTCCCTCTAGAATGAGCTATATAACAGCAACTTTTTGCACTGGATCTCTGTATCCAGTGGGCACCATGAACATTCCTGAGATCCGTGAAAGATGACTAAGAGAAGATATTACATACACATTTTTAGCATCCAGCATAGCCAGCATTTTATTCATTATTTTCTTTTTTTAGGAAACCCATAATGTGCTGAAAAATACTAGCTAGTGTACTCCTGGACTTTTCTGACGAACAATGTCAATTTCAATTATACCACACTTGAGAGGCAATTCTTCACTCTTTTGATCTGGGCTTCATCTGCCAACATCTTTCACAAAGGATTAAGCATTCAAACATATTTTAACAATATCAGTTTCCATAACCAGTCTTCCAAAGCGAAAGAGGATAAAGTTGATTTTGTTAAAAGAAACACAAACAAAAGCACTATAGGAGACTAGTATTCTCTAGTTCATAAGAGCTTTATGTTTGTTATTTAAACAATGTGCACTCTGTTTATGTCAACAACTTATGACTGTCAATTGAGTAGTAAAGCAAGAAAAAACTGGTTTGCTGTCTCTGATGTTATGATTCCAGGCTGTTAAGATCTCAGGTATAATAGTTGGTTGGACATCCAAGGCCACCAACAGCTGCAAAAACCCATCAGTTTCAATAGGAAATGTTACTTTCAAACAATTCTTAGTTCACTCCTGGCAAGCCATACTTTCTGCTACCTGTTGTTTGCCGTGTTGACTGAAATAGAAAGCAATTCTCTAAAAAAATAGTATAGTTTACAGGAAAAACTGACTAAATACTTTCTTGCCCTCCTAACCCTAATTTAAGGGAAGAAAGCTTGCAGGCTTACAGTCCACCTGTGCAGGTTTTTACACCTATATACCTGTCAGCTTTCCCATAACTAGCTTTTTACATCAGCTAATTTAAAATGCATTTAGCAGTTAGATGGGAATCTCAAATATATTTGGTTTGGTAACTGTATCGTCCCTTCTGTCTTTTAAACTAGGTATGAGGAAAAAAACAAGCAAAAGCTAAACATTACTTCACAGAGACAAAACAGCTGCTTTAACGGATTCTCACTGATACAGGAACTGAGAAAAGAAAAGCCTTCACATTGACCTTCACCAGCTTCTATCACTTCATTAAGGGCCATGCTGACTGAAAGGTCACTGAAATCAGATTAATTTGTTACCAACTTCAGTAAGCTTCAGATCAGATCTGCAGGCTCCAGAAAAAGTTACTTTTTGTCCTATCCATCTGAGAACCAGAAGAGGCATTACAGGAGTTAAGTGTTATGAAAAGGGTATTTTATATTTCTCAATTACGTTATCTGGCAATGCCTATTAGTAATATATTGACAGCAACAGTACCAAAACATGGCACAGAAAGTTTTTGCATATCTATAGACTGTCTAAGCAAGAGATGAGGACATTATCTCCTGTATACATGAGGAGCTTTTTATATCTCTTCTGTCACAGAGCTGAAGTAACCAGTTGGCAACCTCAGTCATCATGCACAGCAACAATATAAACAGATGGAGACAGACGGTCTTTAAAGCTGATGAACATAAGCACCACCACTTTTCATGGCAATCAAAACTATATTTACTCATGAGGTAGTTATCAAAATTTATTCAATATTTTCTGAACTCTGCAGCAGAATTAATATTTTAAAAGCCCAGGAAACTGCTCCCTAACACTTGCTCTGAATTTTTGGTAGATTAGTCCATTTACTGGGGGGTTTTCAAACACCTTTCCCTGTGAAATCGGAATGCCTGTCAAATTTATATTCTGGAAAACAGCCCAAAAATTTTATTGCCAGAACCATAAAATAACAACAGTATCTTGTTGCAGAAGGTCTGGAAAAGTTTTATTTTTTAAAAAAACCTTATGATTGCTTAAATAATAAATTTAATCATTATTTTGCTCAGCTACTCATAATTTTTGTAGCAGTGCCTTAAGTATAGAAAATGAGACTCTCACTTTAGAATAGCATTTCCTAAAGAAAGTCCCTACAAGGCTAAAGCTACCAACTTCCTACTTTACTTGTACACTTAACGAGTTTCACTCCCTACTTTTACAGGGCTACAGACAGGCAAAAAATTTACTATTTATATATGAACAAGATGTTAGCAGCTTATACTTGAATTTAGCGATCATGAAAATACTTAAATTTAATGCAAAATAATACATAAAAAGAATGGTAAATAATCAGACCACAGGTACATAAGCATCTAACTAATAACACGAAGTATTGGAAGCTTTATAGTATCCTAACAGGAAATAATCTGGATACCTCTTTTCCAACTCTACAGCATTACAGAAAGCACATCTCAGATTTGCAGCATACACAATCAACCAAATTCAGGTTCTTCTGTATTAAGGCAAAGGAAACAAAGAAAACCTGCCAGTCTGCTCTCCAGCTTTAGTATGGCTGAACACAGTTGAAGCTATTTATAAAGGAAAGAAAAATTATCTCCCAAACCTCAGTTAAGGGATTCGCAGGTCTTTACAAGGATTTTATATTCCGCCGGCTCCCTCTTAGTCTCCAAACCAACAGATCTAAGTATCGATACTTTATGCTGCCAGTGAAACGCTTTTTTGTCAGCTTTAGTCTCTAATCAGTTGTAAAGAGATGACTGAAATAAAGATTTCTAGTCAAGTGTTCATTTTCTGTAAGTGCTTATATAGACAGGTCACAAAATAATCTGCTGGGATTCACCTAATTCATGTGCCGCCTGTAACAGCATCTTACATAGCCAGGCCTCTAGCAACACTGTGAAGCCAGACAACTGTGCCACACTTCTTACTTCATCCCGGTTATATCATGTACTGGCTTGGCATACAAAATGAAGAATATAACCAAGAAATGTGGGACTGAGTGTATAACAACTTATTCACAAATTTGGAATTAAAATTAGGCTCGTATTACATTAATAATTCTTTAGATTCTTTAAACTGTAGTGTATTAATTCTATAAAAATATACATATTTAAAAGACCACACATACCTTATCAACATTTCCCCCCATTAGTCTGAAGACTGAATGCTGGTACAATATTTTCCTGCAGACACAAACAGCCATCTCTTCTCTACTTTCACATCCCATGCCAAAAATAATTATATGTGAAGTTTTACTTTACAGCATTGTGAAGTTGGAAAATACAGCCAATAAAACTTGAGAATATCTTGAGCTAAAGTCCTGCAAAAGAAGTAGATTGCTATTTGATAGTATTTTAACATACTTTGCCACAATATGAAGGCAGCTTCAATGCAGTAGGATTACTGTGAAGTCCTATATACTTGCTGCCTACCTGCATACCCTCTATTTAACAATGACACGCACAGGATTTCCACTGAGAGAATACAAATAGGACTGCAGTTCATATTCCTGACAGATTCATACCCTCCCACTCTCCTAGGACCTATTATTCAACTATCCACAGATCTGTTAACTCAGAGTCTGAACAGTTTTTCTTCAGCAAGTTTGGGATAAGACAATAACCCCAGCTCTCACCTATTCAGTTACACTACGAATGGCTACATAAAGCAATACAACATAACATCAAGAAAAATAAGCATTTTTTTGCAACTTCTGGTGAAATGAGGAAGGGAAACATAGTTGCTCATATAGGTAATTCAAAGGGGAACAAAAACTTGCTTCAACTTGTATAATCTTCTAAATTATCCCACCAGGCTCTAACTTCAGTTTTACAACTTGCCACATTATTTCTAGAATCACCAGAAAAGAAAAAGTCTTCATGTTACCAATATTTGGACTGTATGTCAATCAATTATTTAAGTAAAAGGTAAGAACTGCCAAATGCTTCATGCACTATAGCTGACAGTTTAAAATTAAGCTTGCTGAAACAACTGTAATTCCATTTGCAGAGCATTTCAATATCCATTTCTGTTCCCAGAAGAGTGTTTGACACAGAAAAAATTAGTTCTCTGCCCACTGTATGGATCAGCTTTCCCCTTGAGCGCATTGTCTAACGGATGTTCAGACTCTAAAGTCTCTGAAGTGGAGGCAACCCCAGGGTTAACCTGGATTTGAAGGGGCTTAGCCAGACAAGGGGCAGAGTTATTCAGAGACCTTTAAGGACCCCTGATTTTCATCTTCTCTGCTCTCTCTCACCGACTTTGGTGAGCTGGTAAGGAGGCGGGGATGGAAACTGGGGATAGTTATCTAAGCTTATGAAAGAAACCAGTACCTGTACCTCCTAGGAACATTTTAAACAAATTGGCAAACTTTGTTAGAGAACACTAAACTGAAACTGACCTTTTGATTTTAATAAAAATATGTTTTCCGTTTATGACATCACTACTAATGATATCAGACATAGGAAATACATTATCCTACTCACCTACATGCTCTCAAATAGCTAATACTTCAAAAAATATCATGGATTAAAGCAGAAAGTACTGGATTCCTGTCTTAGGTCACTTTTTTCAGTAAAACTTTAGTTTAACACATAATAAATTTGACTCCGCTCACTATGAAATTGGTAATTTACACCTTAAAACTACAGATTGCCTCAGAAAAGCATAACACAGTGTTTATTATTGTTCTTATATATAATAAAAGTAAATTGTTAAAAATACAAATATAGAAGTAGCTTAGGAAATTAAATCAACTTGTTTGTTTCCCTCCTCTATACTTCACAGATTTTAAATAAAAACTTTATACCTACCGTGTATACATGGTTGTGTTGCAAAGTCCATGAATCATACAGACAGTTCCTACCACACCAGTATTAAGTTCTATGTTTCTCTCTCTTCAGATGCAGGCCTAAGGCCAACATTCAATATGAAACTAACAGTTACTGAAACTTCTAGTTGTGAAATAGAAAAGATACCTTTGTATCCATACAGCAGTTTTTTTTTACTGGTGCTACTCAAATGTGAATCTTCTGATGGCACCCCATATGCTATACAAGAACAACGATGATGCAGTTAATATTTTATTACTGCAATTACCACTTTCATACCTGCTAAAACTCATTCTAAAGCATGTGAATTTTTAATTTCATCTGACAAATAGATTTTGCTTCAACTGCTTACCGCTTACCATATAGGAATAGTGGAATTGGATATACGACTCCTGACTCTTCTTGAACACCCTCAGTCAGCATGATTACTCTCGTCTTCAGAAGGCATTTGAAGCAAACAGAAACATGGTATGGACCTACTGAGGTTGGTAAAGTGCCTGTAAACTGTACACACTATTTCATGAAAGCATGCAAATAAAAACCCCTCTCTATCTCTTCTTCTACAATAAAGACTAAGAAAATTAACATACTAGCATTCAGCACTCAGCTTGTTGAATATTTTGCTGAAGTCTGTCTTGCTTAGAAATGAGAGCAGCTAAGGTGGTGGTGTTACTCCAAATACAGTTGTATGACCAAACCCACAGAGATCCACTTTATTCTCCCACTGTCATGTCCCATGCTCAGTCTCAAATACATTCACACACGCGTATTACAAACACAGCCTGATACTGCAAGCATCTGATAACTGAGTAAAGCTCATAAATCAGAGATGCCACAGCTGAAAGCAGGATAGAAGCTAAGTGTATTAACCTTATTTTGATCTAAGCCTACACTCCAGAGCAAACTAGTTAATCATATTTTTCATTTAACCTTTGTGTCTGTGAAGTTGTATTCTAACCTACAGAATAAAGTGAAAACAACTAGCTGATAAGGACTAATTGCCACTATACCTTTCACCATCTTCTTTCCTATGCATTTATAAAAGTTGAGAACTCATAGAGAAGTTGAGCTTTACCTAATGAGCCCCTGCAAATGACAGAAAACAAACAGTAGCTCAAAGCTGATACAACCACTGCTAACACTGCAATTCTGTGAACTGAAAATGTATGCCACAACAGAAGTTCTCTATGAACCACCTACATTATGGACAACTTTGTTTCTGAAGCCCTGTAGGAACATCCAAGTAACGAACTGGCCTAAGAACAAGCTCTTTTCTTGGTTTTGTTTCCATATCATTATCAGGGATCTTTGCTCTCTAGACTATAGTCACAAAGAATCCTCATTATAGGTAAGAGGCAACCTTATTAGTAGTCCTTATGACAACTTCTTAGAAATCTTTGAATACAGAAACATTAACCCAAGATAAAATTTGAATATCAGTTACCTGAAATGCTTATGGGCACTGAAAGAGTCTGTGGCTAAGGTTCCTGCTGACAGATACATACAAAAGTTACTTTCACACAAGCCTGTAGCACAGCACCTGGATGTCAATAGTGGTTAGAGATATTTCCATAGCGATAAAGCAACTTCCTGGTTATTCCTGCCCTAAGGGCATTGGTCTCCGGCATTCCTTTCCTACACAGAAAAACATCCCTGCATTTTCCAATCAGCAGTCCAATCCTACAGAAAAACAAATCACTTCCTTCTAAAATGAACCTGCAACACACGATCATCTCCCATACCCTGAAAACATCTTACACAGTTTAAAGCAATATTGTTAGAGAGCTACTCAAAGGTACAAGCCACATCGTAAACCAACTCCCTTTAGTGGGCCAAGACACCTTAAAATGCAACATACTACCAATATAATAGCCAAGAGCACGGAGTAGCCACATTAGCAGCTTGACTTGAAGCCTCCGGTCCCTCTTAACAGAACAGCCACTTAAACACCTATGGATAAACTAGGTTTTCCGGACAGGCTTCCTTCAAAAGGCGTCTTCACCCGAACTGCACTTTCCCTGAAAAACTGTGCCCCCTGCACTGTGTGGAAGTACCTTTACTTGTCCTTGCACTCGCGCGAAGACAAACTGTGCTTCCCGCCCCGCTGAAGGGCGGCGGGGGACGGGGACAGCGCCCCGGGCCCACGCCTGCGCTTCACCCCAGGCTCCCTGACCCCAGAGCTGCCCCAGCGCGGGGCGGGGGCGCGAAGCGCAGGCCCAAGAGCGCCTCAGCCCCGCGCCCAGCACCGGCCGTTAACGGCCACCCGGGGCCGCGAGCGCGCAGGCACCCGCGGCTGCGCGAGAGAGAAGGGAAGCGATCTGGGCGGGAAGCGGCGGCGGGGCAAGGCGGGGCCGCCCACTACAGACCCCGGCCTGCCCGCCCTCCTTCCGCCACCACGCCAACACCAGACCACGAAGATCCCCCCCCCTCACCCCGGGGCTCCCCCGCGGGCAGCGGTTTATGCCGGGCGGGGCAGGAGGGGAGGGGAGTGGAGGGCGGGGGTGGGGGGGGGGCGCGCCGCCAGCGCGCATGCCCGCCCCGCCCCCCGCCCCGCCCACAGCGCGAGCCCGCTCGCCGCGCCCCCTTCCCCTCCGCGAATCCCGGCGGGGCGGGGCGCGCAGGCGGCGGCGCAGGCGCAGTCGGGCGGCGCGTCGCTGCCGTGTCCCGTCCCCCGCTGTCCCGTGTGTGTGTGTGTGTCCCCCCTCCCGCCGCCCCCCTCCCCCCCTTTCTCCCCCCCTCCCCCCCGCCCGCCCGTTTAAAGGCGGCGGCGGCGGCGCCCCGCGCCTATTGTGGCAGCAGCGCTGCGCCGGGATCTGCCGCCGCCCCGCTCCTCGCGTCTGGCGGAAGCGCCGGGGGCCGCCGCCATGTACCGCTACTTGGGGGAGCTGCTGGCGTCCCGCTTGGCCGCCGGCTCGGTGCTGGCGGGCGCGGAGCCGGGGGGGCCGGCAGCGGCAGCCGGTGGGGCGGCAGCGGCGGCATGGGGCGGGGGCCGGTGCCCGCGGCGGCACTACTGCGAGGCGGCGAAGAAAGAGGACGACCCCAACTTCTTCAAGATGGTGGAGGGGTTCTTCGACCGCGGCGCCAGCATCGTGGAGGACAAGCTGGTGGAGGGGCTGCGCACCCGCGAGAGCATGGAGGAACGACGCCACCGCGTCCGCGGCATCCTCCGCATCATCAAGCCCTGCAACCATGTGCTCAGCGTCTCCTTCCCCATCAAGCGCGACAACGGCGAGTGGGAGGTGATCGAGGGCTACCGGGCGCAGCACAGCCAGCACCGCACCCCCTGCAAGGGAGGTGAGACCCGCCGCCCCCCGCACCGCGCTCGGTGCCCGGGCCCGCCCAGGCCGTGCGGCCGGGCCCGGCCTGTCCCCGGCCCGGCAGGCACCGTCCCGCCGCGGGGCGGGCGCTTCCCGCGCCCTCAGGTCCTGGGGAGGGGTGGCGGACACACGGACGGACAGACAGCGCTTGGCTCCCCGCTGCCCGCCCGGCCAGCGACCGCTGACAGCCCTCCCGGCGAGGACAGGCAGCAGCCGCCTGCTGCCACCGGCGGGGTCTGGAGGGGAGGCCCGCGGCACGCCGCTGCTGCCACTCGGGCTCCCCACGAGTGACCTCCCGCTTAACCTCGGCGCGAGGTCTCGCAGCGCGGCCTGCGCCCCCCAGCCTGGCGTCAGGCGAGGCGAAGGGTGCGAGGGCGGCCCGTGGGGTGACTCGGGGTGGCTCCCGTTTTGGTAGTGTGTATCAACAAACGTGTGGAAATTCCACGCTGGAAGTGTCCGCTCGGGAGAGGCTGTCCCTTAATGCGCTGCTTGCCGTGTTTGCGAAACCTGAACGCTTGCCCGGAAAACATGGGTAGAAAAAAGTTAACAAGTTTTCCTAGTTACCGGCTGGACGCACAGGAAAAGGCAAACCAGATTTTTCTATGGAAAGCTGACTTGGCATAAGTGAGGCCAACAGCATGCCTGTGCAAAAGCACCAGGAGGGTGAATCCTGCTGGAGCTGAGCAGAGCTGAGCTCATGCAGGATCAGCTGTGGTCTCAGAGGAATCAAACTCCCTTCTAGTCTGGGATAGATGGCATTTCCTTGAAAAGCAAATACAGATGTCCTTTAGCATAGCTTATGTAGGAGCTCTGATCTTTCTGGGCAGTTAAGTATGGGAGACCATTTCAGCACTGTGTCTCAATCCAGAGCTTCTGTAGTCAGTAAATACATTTCTTTCTTCAGCATAGTCCAGCTTTATGGAAAAGAACGATGGTTGCAGAAAACAGTTTTCTGTGATGTCTTATCAGTGAAGGCCTCTGACTTTGAGAGTAGAGTAGGAAGGGTGTTCTTAGGTAAATGTTTTCTTGATAATCAGTTTGGCTGGTGTGTATATATGACATGGGGATTTTTCTCTTTGCAGCACCAATAGTATGTGCTGTTAATGTGGTTCCTGACTTTCCAAAATAAAATACGTAGAGAGCATCCTGTGATATGCTTGATTCTTGCCCAAAAGAGGCTAACTCAACTTCCTGGTGATTACTCGGAGCAAGAGTTACCAGCATCAGACTTAGTTGTAGCTGAAGTTGGGTGTGGCTGAACCTTACTTTGTGTGGAGCTACTGTTTCTCTGCCATTGCTATATTTTATTTTAAAACACTGATGGTTATTACACTGCTCTTTTGTCATTCACTTAGATTGTTACTTTTTGCTGCTGCTTACAAAAAAATCATTTTCTGTACAGCCTGTGTTACTCCTAAGATCCCAGCTTGCATAACAAAATACTGTTCAGTGGCAAATGAAGTAACAAGATAGTATTTAATATATGATAACTTCTAATATTTCACATTACCATTGCTCAGAGCTGAAAGAATTAATGTTTTCACAACAAAGAATTGTAAGATTCTCCCTACATCAACAAAAAACATCAACTGAGTGATTGGATACCTTCTGTTCAGATAACTCCATTTTTAAATCCTCAACAGAATTTCTTGGTTTTCAGTAGCATTTGTTATGCCTGTCTGCACAGACACTGGAGCAAACACTGGAGCGTTTATGGAAAGTTACAACTGTAAATTTCAAGGCAGTTGGAAATGACAGCTGAAGAAAGTACCAAGTCTAGATAGTTTGTCCTTTTGTTCCTGTGCTGCTCCCCACCCCCCATGGGTTTAGGGAAGGAATTGCAAATGATATTTCCTTTCCACTCTTTTTCAGCATAGTAATCATAAAAGGATTTCACCTTCTAATGCTCTCTAGGAATTTGCTCACTATCAGATGACAGATCTGGCTTTGCAGTAGTTTAAAGGGGATGTGTGATAAGTGTAGATCAACTGCTTGAAACCTGCTATGAAAAAAAAAGGTGGGAAGAAGTAGAACATTTCTACTCAAACTGCAAAGAAAAGGAGTGGTAAAGATATTTCTGCATTTATGGTATGTTTGATCCATCTGGAATACACCAAAAACTTGAGCTTTTGTCTAAAAGTGACTTTTAAACTAGAATCCTAGTAGATTCCATAGGGAAAAAAACAAAACAAAACAAAATGCAAAGCTTGGTGAAATACAACTCAAACCCTATAATAGTGTGAAACAGGAAAACTTGCTGAAGTGAGTGTCTCACACACTGTGGGGCCCATAGTCTGGCACAGGCAATTCACACCAGCAAGAAACAACAAGGGACATAAGGCCACCTTTTAAAAGAAGGGGCGAGTTGGCCTCTGGAAGGCTTGCAGAGCAGTAGGAGGAACACAGCTTCCAGATCTCTTCAGATGCTGAATTGTGAGCGTTGACTTTGCACTTACTGAAAAGTAAAGTTTGATAAAATAAGGTTCCCTGTACTACTTTTTTTTTCTTTTTTTTTTTTTAAAGGAGGTGTATTTGGTACTAAGAAAGAGATAGCATTTAGTTACTGCTAGGTAATCTGTACTAGCAAGTAGGGATGCTTTGTCATCTAAGGAGCATTGTACTTGAAATGCTCATCTCTTATTTCTTGAAAGTTTACATGAGCTGGAGGATAAGAGATGCTGTTTAGAGAACGTTAAATGCTGTTCTGTATGCAGATTAGACAAATGATCAAAGTGCACTTTAAGATTCAAGTATGGAATGAAGGAAAATAAATATTTATAGGTCTTTTAAAGGCTGTCTTCCTTTAATTTTGTTCCTCATTACTTTTTGTGCATCCATACCAAAATGCTTCATTAGTGATTTCATGTTACTTCTGTATACCTTTTTGTTTATAAGGTCATTTACAGATTTAACCATGAACTAATGAAGATTTTGTACTGTAAATCAAATTTTAAAGTCTTGATTTAAATCCTCCTAACCTGGAGACAGCTGAATTACATGAGGAAACAGAGACTAAATACACATTTGAATTATCTGCACTTTAGCAGCTTCTATTTCTACTAAATGTTTGCAGCTTACAGTTATAGCAGTTAGATTCTGTTCCTTCTGTCACAGGCATAATCTTCAATTTCTTTGCCTGCTCATTCTCTTCTAGGGTGAAACCTCAACCCCATTACTTAGCAGTCTAGCCCAGATCTGGAAAGCGCCAAACTTATTAATGCGAGGTTGATCTTTATGAAGCAAGTTTAAAACTCACATGTGCATACAGGTGATACCTGCTGGTAGAAGTGCAGCAGTTCCTTAACTAGTAGTCCTGTACCTCCTTCTCTGCTGGCTTCTGTACTGCCTGCAAGTAGAAATAACTCGCCAGAGTGAATGCCAGAAGAGGCCTGCTTTGAAAATAAAGCTCCTGGGTGGATGGATGACTGTGTCCTGATACAGACATGGAATTACAGACCACATGGGTTGGGCTGGATGAGGGCAGATTTAAGATCAGTCTTACGTTTTTTTGCATAGGTGAGATCCTACACCGTGGTGGGAAACTTGACTGTCATATTTCTGTTCGAGAAGTATGATGCTTTTAGTACCTTAGTTCTAACAATCTGAAGCATAGTTATTAAAAATCGGAAGTTATTTAATGGCTTATCCTATTCTCCTCTCTTCCCTCAAAACAGGTGTAAAAACACAAGTCAACTTGATTGTGTTGGACACAGTTGTCACTACATGGTA